TGAAGTCTATCATTCTTTCCTTGCTTCACACAATCCAACAAAGTCTCTATAATGAGTTTAAGATTATCCATTTCAGGCATATTCGATCCGGAGACAGTTATAGTGTAATTGCAGATTGAAAAAAGGAGCTCCATTATTAAGTCATAAATAAAACCCAAGTTATTGTTGGAATTAATCAAGCTTAACAACGTGTGAATAAAATCGTGGCAAGTGTCGGATATCTTTTTATTATCGGTCATTATGATCGTATCATTTGCCCCGGAAAAGGCGTCTAGTAAAAGAGTCCTACCCAGCGAGTTGCTTCCTAATGATATCAAAAGACTTAACCATCGACCAAATAATGATAATTTGATGTCGAATTCGACCGAATTCTCATCATCAATCGTCTCCACATTTCCTTCGACCTCGTTGTTATTGATATTCAACTTTTTGTCGTCAACCTTTTCTGGAGTGTGTTGAAATTCTACAAGCGCTTCGTAGACTCCATTAATGACGGTTTTCACGACCCCCTTACCGATTCCTCGATCGTGTACATCGAGGTCAACTATTTGGCATATTAATGTTCGTAGCATTATATGTATGACTTTAGAGCTCGAAGGCGCAAGACTTTTGATAAGATGCATTAAATCATCTCTCAATGGGATCAATTGGTTGACCCAATATTCGCGCAATATTTGAGCCTCCGGATGAGGGTCACTTATGCCAGCCGGGGATTCGTAATTATCAAAATATTCATCACCTTTCTGTTCATTGGATCCATGCGGTTGGTTTCCCATAACCAAGGGTGTGGGTAATATCTCACTAAGAATATGCAATCCGCTCAAGAAGTTATTGGGACCATCAAATATAAAATCGATCAAGTGTTTTACCACATGTCTCCCGGCAAAATCCGAGAAAAGCCGCGCGCGATATAAAAGCTCACTTCGCGCAGGGTTTTTTTCCTCGATGATCACTTGGGTCAATAAGCCAAACATATTCAATAGTAATCCACGAACCCTTGCGATTTGTGCCGACTGACCACTTTTCAATGGATGATCAGTTCCAAGCAGCGCAACAGCTCCAAGCTGATCACTCAACCTTCCATCCAAATGATCTAAAGCGGAAACGAGCATCAACCATGATTCAATGCAGGACTGCGTCATAGATTTCTTCTGAGATGGAAGTGGATCATCGGGACGCTCATTTTCATCATAAATATTTTTGAAATGACGTTTTGCGACTCTACTATTTGGATCACCGTAAACGACTTTAAGAAACCTTCGTATCAATATCAGGTTATACCACACCAGATCAAGCAATTCTTTTCGATGTTCGGAGATCTCAGACGATAGGAAAACTCCGGATGGTATGAACGTCGGATTGAGGGGAGGATCATTTCTATTACTTTCCATTGAGTTTCCGAAAAATTTTGTTGCCTCTTGATTCCTCGATTCTTCTTGTGCGATGTAGTTATTGTCATCTGCGGTTGTTGACGAAAGTGAGGAATCCGAAGAGATTTGATGGTCCGCATAAACGACAAAATCACTCATGTCCGAAAGCACCTCGGCGGCATGATTAAGTAGTCTCAAGAGAAACACGAACAAGCTGTCACCATTATCAAGACCACTATAATCATCCATTCGGGCTTTCAATATCTGCAACATTCCACCTTCCGAATACGTATAACACAAAAGCAATCTTAGCGCGACCAGAATCTGGTTGACAATGCTGTGATCTCGTAAGCATTCTGGATAATATTTCTGATGCTTGACGATATCAATTACTCCTTGAACGTCACCGGATTCATGGAAGGCAGCAATTGGATCCCATAGAATGCGCAAATGACCTTCCTGAGAAATAAGCGGAGGTAACAATTCACGCATATTGGGTTTCAGTAGATAAGGAAATGATGGGAAAAATTTGACCACTGCTTCCAATAATTCAAGCGATATTCTACCGATTGCACTTAAGATAGCATTCGCATCAGAAGACATGTCATTTTGTGGAAGACTAAGATTCAAATAAGAAACAATGGTTGGAAGAGCGTCCAGATGTACAAGCGTTGATATCACGGCCTAACAATTTGAAACATGTCAAAAATTGATCCATCCAAATAATGTCGACGACACAAGTTATTAATTGAATAATTATGCACCTGCTTTCCCACGTTAAACGTAGTCATCTCAAATAGATCACCTAATAGCGGCATGACCTTTTGACAATAGTCATAACTGGTATTTTCAGATCCATGACGTCCTAATTCTAAAAGCTTTTCAACAATGGCGATCGCATTTACATGATACACCAGTAGAATCACCAACTGATCGGAAGGAATGACACAACTATCCAAACAGTCCGACTCGGATCCCGTAGCCCCGCAGCTCTTCATTTTTAAAATTTGTCGCGCCTTTTTCAGGCGAGAATCCTCTTCGTCGTTTGCTATAAACGATTCATCCTCATTGTAGTCATTGACATAGTCATAGTCCTCGTCGTAATTTCCACCGGTCATAGACTGACCAAGTCCACACCAAATATCACCGATACCCGGCGTTCTTCTTATTTCGTTTACGTCGGACCATCTTTCATGAATCATTGGCATTGAAGTTTGGTCTGCATCTTCCGTTTCTTCGGGCGAATCCGACATATTGTTTTGATGACACAAAAGGTTGGCCCAAATGGCAAGTAAACTTTCTCCAAATGGATCTCGCAATTGCTGCAGCTGTTTGGCTAAATACAGCATACCCGTTTTCTCCCCCAGTAAGACGACACAGAATCTTCCGAGGGAATTAACGAGCTCGTGAAACCGTGAGAAACCTCGCAACTTCCGAGACGCCAAAATGGCTGTAATCGCTGGAAACAGTCGACAAAATGTAGGATATCGAAATGAAAATATTGAATAACAATCTTGATTGGCCTCCTCATTTGAATTCAAAGCCATGTGATAAAGGGCAGCCTTGGATATTATCTGAAGACAATCAGTCAATTGCTCAATTATTAATTCACCATCATCTTGATCCTGCATATTGTCGTCTAGCACCATGAAATGAGCATCGTCACCGAGAATTTCATTCCTGAAATCACTCCCGTTATCTGTTACTTCATCCAATTTCTTTTTTCGTTTCCGCGCCTCATTTTGCAATTCGTTATCTGCAACCTGTTGAATTAAAATACACGCTTCGTACGTTGAAACCTTGCGGACAATTGCTTGAAGTAAATGCAATATCCTGTTAGGCAACCTTTTGACTTGTAGCTTTGGTAAAATATAAGTTTTATATAACGAATCACAACTATGAGTTCGATCACACCATCCTATGAGGATCTCAACCACCTTTGTTTCATCCGTGCACTTCAATAACCCTCGAAGTATTTGTGCCTGTAGAGTCGAAGACACGTATTGTTCATTTAATAGAGGGACCATGAGTTTCAAGCAGGATTGAACCTGTTGGATAATGTTATTAATTAGCATATAGTGCATTGGACACAATTCATATAATAAGCGATTATAAATGAAAGAAAACA